TATAAGGAGTAAGGAAAGGATCCAGTTTCAGCTTTCTACTTATGGCTAGCCAATGGCATATTTTAGAAATTACATCAGGAAAACAGTCTCAGGAACAAACAGGAATTTATTTACATACCAAATATATTAAAACGCAGGACAGAAGTTATGCTTTATGGCAAAAGAAAGAGATATGAGTCCACGGCTTTTAAAATTTTCTATGAGGCCATTTTTTAGAGCAGTAAATAGTTGGAGCTTCATGGAAAAGAATTTACAATGCACTCCGTGTGTTTTATTATTATTTAGTGAGCATTGTGAAGTCGATTTTGTTCAAGATATGGATGAAGACATGGAGCTTATTCATGGGACCTCTGATTTAAAATGAGTAAACCATTTCATATACAAATACATCAAGCGTAAGATTCAATACCTGAAAAACAGCTTAAATACCAAAGTTTCTCTGTGTAGTTCTTTTGGAGGTTGATGGATAGAGCCTTTGGTTTCCAGACTTGGAAAATCACTTGCAGGAAGGGAAGAATTTCAAGCACATGGATATTATACAAGAATATGTAAATAGGAATAACAAAATAGAGGAAAAGATGCTTTTTGAGCTTTCAAGCAACAACAGTTGAGCGAGTAAAAGAATAACAGTAATGCCAATTAGGTAGGGCTGTCCTGGGCCTGTAGAGGGCCAGAGCTGGATGTCCTGATTCCCCGTCAGACCCAGTCTTCATCCCTCCACTGTGGCCCTGGCCCTGGAGGACCTCTACAAGCTGTATCATCTGGGCTCCCTTGCCCACCAGCTTCCAATTGGTTCAGCCAATGAGAGGCAGCAGCTGGAGGTCAAGAGGAGGGACTACAGGGGTCAGGGCCTCCTCCCCCGGCCCCCTATCAGGGGATAGATCTTGGTTTGGCTGTTGCCGTGTCATTGGGTGCCTCTCTGTGGGATCAGTTCTTGTTCATTCCACCAACAACTTCTTCGCCTTATCCCCCGGGGCCCCCTCTCCTGTGGCCAGCCCTGGGGAGCTTCACCTCTCTGGGCTGGTTTCCTTTAACTTGTTCAACCTTTATAAGTAGCCTCTTCTTTAAACTCTCTTTGTCACCCCTTTGAGTGTGCCATCTGTTTCTTACCAGGACACAGACAAACATAGCACCTTAGTAGGAATTAGGAAAAAGCACCCAGATGGGTGCATGGGGGTTCATTATGTTATTGTCTCTACTTTTATATGTATTGAAGTTTTCTAAAATAAAAAGAGTACCAAAAAGAAAAGAAAAAGGCACCCCTTTTGGTGGATGGTGCCCTGCAGGGGTGTAGCTTAGCTGTGGTCTGGATTGCAGCACCAACTCACTCCTGCAGCTTCGAGGGGTGAGTTTGTGCAGCGCACGAAATGCCCAACCAAACCTGGCAGCCTGACAAAAGGGTGGGCAGATCCCTGAAAGCTGGGAAATATCTTGAAGAGAAAGTGAGGATAGGCCTGGGTCTTTAAGGGTATTTGGGACTTAAATGGGAAATTTCAGTATGCAAGGAAAACCTGTAGGACAGCAAGGCATAGGATGGCTACAGGGAGTCAACTCTATAAGACAAGGAGTGTCCCTGGAGAGAGTATGAGAAAGTGGAAGTGGGTGGAGACCCTTTGATTGCTGAGCTATAACATGTGAATTCTAGTTGATGATCCTCCAGGCAGTTTGGGGCAGGGTTTGGGCACTGGGGCTCCAGAGCTAGACTGGGTGTAAGTCATGGTTTTGGTAGCTATTAGCTCTGTGACTTTGCACATTTGCTTATTCTCACTAAGCCTCAGTTTTCTGTTTGATAAAACAAGGATAAAATACTCCCCATCTCCTAGACTTGCTGTTGGGCTGAATTTAAAGATGTGTGTCAAATGTTTACTGCAGTGCCTGGTAGTTATTGAACATTAGCTACCATCCTCAAAAGTTTTTAAAGAGAAGAGTGATATGATGAAAGCAATATTTTTAAAAAATCACACAGCATGTGCAGGATGCTCTAGAGAGGAAAGAAGAGTGTGGGGGGGGTCACTTGGAGGCTGCAGGGGGTGTCTCTCCAGTGAGAGAAATGGGAAATGGGAAAATAGAAGCAGGTATAAGAAGCTCTGTGAGAAGAAGAGGAAGAGGACTGGAAGATGGACAGATGGTGAGAGTAAGCAGTCACAGAGGGCCCCAAGTGCATTTCCAAGATCTTTAGCCTCCACTTATATAAATACCCCTAGGCAGTTTCAGCAGCTCACATTGAAGGACTGACAATTTTGACATTTTGATACAAGTGAAAGAAAAGTGAAACTCGGAATCATTTGATGATTTTACCCTTCTGTTTTACTGAACATTGGTAAATCTACCTAATTAAACCCAAGATTCTACTACAAAATAAAAACCCTAACAGACACCTCAATCATTCCAGTAACCACTGCTTACTTCTGAAATGTCCCCAAAGCAGGTTTTTCATATCCAGAATTTCTTCTGATTAAGATCTGAGGTAGTGCCTCTGCAGTTAAGAATGGGCATCCCCACAGAAAACTCTCTCGGATCATACGTAATTTATAAGCCCCGTTCTGACTACCAACATTAGCAGAACTGAGGAAGCTATCGAATCCTTGACCTAAGCTAACATTTGGGATGGAGGGAGGAAAGAGTCATTAATGTGAAGTAGTGGTGATGTGGTTTGGCTCTCTCCCCTCCCAAATCCCATCTTGAATTTAGTTCCACAATCTGCAGGTGTCGTGGGAGGGAAATGGTGGGAGGTAATTGAATCGTGGAGGTAATTGAATCATGGGGGCTGTTACCCCAGGCTGCTGCTCTCATGATAGTGAGTTCTCACAAGATCTGATTGTTTTATAAGGGGCTTTTCCCCCTTTTGCTTGGCACTTCTCTTGCCTGCCACCACGTAAGATGTGCCTTTGCTCCTCCTCTACCTTCCACCATGATTGTGAGGTCTCTCCAGCTATGTGGAACTGTGAGTCTATTAAACCTCATTTTCTTTCTAAATTACCCAGTCTCAGGTATGTATGTTTCAGTGTGAGAACAGACTAATACAAGTGGTTTCTCATAGGTCCCCAGTTTCGCATTTATTTGTAGGCAAACCTACCTAAGAATTCAGTGCCATTTAAAAAAACGAGTCTGAGGCTATTTTAGCCACATCTTCGTCTGAAAAAACTGTTTTCCGTGTTTTCACTATTTAACATTTTTTTCCAGGAACCAGATCCAGTTTTTGCCAGGTGTCTTGGCTGACTGTCAGAGACAGTCATCTGGTTTTGCATGGCAGCATCTGGTTTTGTGGTTTCTGTGGCATCTCTCTGAGCTGTTCTCTCCCTCTCTGCCTTGCAGATACTTGCCTGAGATCATGAATGATGGGCTCACCAACCAGATCAACAATCCCGAGGTGGACGTGGACATCACTCGGCCCGACACGTTCATCAGACAGCAGATTATGGCTCTCCGTGTGATGACCAACAAACTGAAAAACGCCTACAATGGCAATGATGTCAATTTCCAGGACACAAGTAAGAAAATCCTTCCCAGCACCAGAAACTTCCAGAGTAAAAAATGAAAATGGTTTTAGAAGACAACGCCCTGACTTTCTTCAAGAGCAATATGCCCTTTTAATTTTTTCTCAATCTTCCGCAGGCTGTGATGCTTGTTATAGTGTTTTGGACAGAGAGCTCTGATCCACAAAACATAGGATACGAATAAAATCATAAATTCCACAACACAAGTAATAATTGCAATGGATTATGTTCAGCCATACCAAAGCTGAAATTGAGTTTCATCTACCAGTTGATTCATTAATGACAAAACAGCAAAGTAATTTTTCACTTTCTCCTGTCCTCATCAGTATTCGCATCTGACCCAAACTTCTGCCCTATTCCCACCAAAAGAAGAAAGCTCAGCAGATTGCTTAGACAAGCCTGAGCTAGAATCCCTCATTCTTTATTAATCAGAGTCTCTACAAATTACTCTACTTCTTGAGTCTCAGGTTCCTCTTCTATAGAATGGGAAGCATCCCTGCTTCAGAGGCTTTTAGAAGCCTTATTTGAGGAGCTATGATAGTGTCTGGCGGGTAGTGAGCAGGTTCAGCTACATCATTTCCTTCTCTATCCAACTATGCACACACACAACCCATAGACATTTGTATCTGAAATATTGAGAGAAATTGTAAAATTCTAGTGCAATATTACACATGACTATTTCATTAAGGATCAAAGAAGCATCAAAAATTATTTGGAAGACTATTAAGTGAACATTGACATGAAACTATACATGGGTTTTGTCTGAGTGGTTTCAAGATGAATAACTACAAAAAAAATTTTTCTGTCATTGTTGTTTGTTGCTTTTTAAAAATATTACCCTTACAAAGAGAGTTCCCAGGACAAGGATTCTTGAACATAAGATGTGAAGTTGCCAGTGATTCTGTAATTTGGTTACTGAATCATAAGATGATGCTTGTGTGCTTGAATTAATGAGATAGAAAGGAATAAGTTATAGATAGAAGACCTCAAGTCATATCAGTCATAGTCATCAGCCTACCAAGTTATCCCCTGCAGAAAATTTTTGTGCTTCATTCCATTTTAAAGAACTCAAAAAAATAATTTTCTAAACACAGAATAATTACCAACCCAATGGACGTTATTGCTGTAAAATTCCTCAAAATAATCCCATTATCTCTCCTGCTTTTACTAATGTCTCCCTTCCTTTCCTCTTCAGAAGAGAACATTACACAGGTTTTAGCCATTGTTGTTTCACCCTTATTAGCACCTCTCATTTTATCCATTGTCTTCTCCATTAAATAAAATGCTCTATTATCTAGAGAGTGGCTATTGGAATGAATAATTCAAGATACATAAGAATTAGTTGGCTTGGGTTTGTTGCTTCTCACTCCTCTCTGACCTAAAGAGGTTATACACATATCAAGCTGCAAAGCTCAGGGAATGGCCAGGAGGCAGAGCTCTTACTCCATTTCCCCTCAAAAGAAAATAAAATCAACAATTAAGAGGATCCCTGAGTTCTAACCCAAGCACCAAATGTGGCCCCTCTATTTTAGGCTAGTGTCTGTCATACAAACCATTATCGCATTTTATAACCATCAGCATCCTTATTGCTTTGGACATTTTTTTAAGTTATTCATCCCATCCCTTAATATTTACATTCGTGATTCCTTTTCAGACAGAGATGGGACCATTATTTTTTCCAGCCAAAATCTCTTGTCATATTTGCTTCCCACATTTTTTAATATTCTAAATCATTGTAATAATATCTCTGTAAAGGTTATATTACTTCTTGTTCATGACACCAGTGTTCAGAACAATTCCCTTAGCAATTCTGATATCTCTGAATTTAATCAACGGGAATTTTCCCCCTTGTAAAGGCCACTAAAGATAAATCAGAGAAAATGTTAAAAACCTAGTATAGTGTAGTGAAGTGATCTTATCTGGTATTTAGATGTCCCATTAAAAAAGGAAACTGTGCTCGTTTCTCTCATTGTATCTTTCTCATTCAAGAGGACATTAGAAGAGTCCCTACATTGCCCCAGCTTTACTTAAGTAGCATCCAGCAGCTAAAGCTGGCCCTGGTTTGTCAGGAGCAGCTCAACAGGGCATCACCATTTCAGACTAGCAGGGAGAAGTGTAGGGATATTGGTTGGAAATCACTGAGCAAGTGAGAGAAATAGCTAATGTCCTCACAAAGCTTCCAGTTTCCTGAGCCCTTCCAGGAACATGATTTCTCATAACAGATAGATGTTATTACTATCATTTTTACAGGGGAGGAAACAAAGCCTCAATAAGTCTAACTGGCTTACCCTGTGCTTTTAAATAACAACTGTCAGGGTACGTTCCAGGTCTCCTGTGCTGTAGGAACCATGTTTTTTCCATCAGGCATCACTGGCAGCACTGGGTTTGGTGTCCTCGAGCACTCTTCACACATTCTCTCCAAGGTCAACGTTGTCATCTGTATTTGTTTAGGTGAGGAAACTGCAAAAGTTGAGTAACTGCCCAAAGCACATTTATTTATTCAGCAAGTATTTGTTGAGCACTTGCTGTATGCCAGGGGCCACTGAAGGCTTTAGAGGTACAGAAATGAACAGGATTTACCAAATCTCTACCCTCTCAAAGATTGTGTCTTTAGTTTACATTCTTGAGAAGGAGATAAACAGTAAGCAAGTGAACAGGCACATAAATAATACATCTCCAAGCGGTAATAAGTACTTTCATAAAGCTAGTAATCGGTAGCCTGATCTGGGCCAGGTTTGAGTGACAGGGTTTGCCAAATAAGAAGGAATCAAGCCCGTGAGAAGTGGGAATAGGGAAGAAAGCAAGTTGGGCGGGAAGGGACGATGCCACCCTGGGTCGACATACTCTGGGGGTACCTGGGCCTTGGTTTCAAGCAGAGAATGGCCAACTGTTTCTGTCAAGGGCCATATATTAAATCTGTTAATCTTTGAGGGCCACATCATCTCTGCCAGCACAACCCCACACTGCTGGTCTAACGTGATAATACATATGTGAATGGGGGGAGTTGGATTGTAATAAAATTTCATATATGGACACTGAAATGAGAATTTCACATACACTTTTTACATGTCATGAAATATTATTCTTCACTTGATTTTCTTCAAACACTTGAAACTATACAAACCACCAGGTACACTGGAACATGCCTACAGTCCCAGCTACTTGGGAGGCTAAGGCAGGAAGGTCACTTAGGCCCAGGAGTTTGGGGCTGCAGTGAGTTATGGGCAACATAACTGGGCCTGGGCAACAGAGCCAGACCCTATCATAGATAGATAGATAGATAGATAGATAGATAGATAGATAGATAGATAGATAGATAGATAGATAGATAATAGACTTTATGGGTATCTATAAAATATATTTTCTATGTAAATAAACCATTTTGGAGTTATGGACCATACAAAAGCAAGCAGCAGGTCATAGTTTGTCAACTCCTGGTTTAAGGGGAGAAGCTGGCTGGGACGGAGTCCATCCTTGCTCACAGGAGAACACAGGTGGGGAAAAGGTGGCCAAAAGTTATATTTATAGAGACCTCTCACCACTATTGCTGCTGCTCCTCTCATTTCCTCTGTGTAGAACTTGTTTTCCTCTTCTGTATTTTTCTTCTAAAATCCATTAAAAAGCATGGTATCTTCCTAGAGCAATGACTCTGCATATAAAAACAGCAAAGAATGGAGTTTCTTAAACTTAAGTACTGGCCAGAAGATATGTCTTTCTAAGGCCAACATGGTAGGTGTGGCCTCCCCTTGAGTCTGGGGTTCACACATTCCTTGGGTTGCATAACTCGGGTATCAATTGTAACTGTTCTTCAAACACCTACTTCTGTACAGTCCACCCACTCGTCACACCCCTGCCTATTAGAAACAATCCTGTTGGGTAGGGTGGGGGACCATGCATGGGAAGATTCGGCCTCCCACCACCATGCCCCATACCTGCTGAGCTCTTCGTTTCCACTCTTTCCTGATTGGTGGTTGTATTAGTCCATTTTCATACTGCTGTAAAGAACTGCCCGAGACTGGGTAATTGATAAAGGAAAGCGGTTAATTGACTCACAGTTCAGCATAGCTGAGGAGGCCTCAGGAAAATTACAATGATGGTGGAAGGCGAAGGCACTTTCTTCACAAGTTGGCAGGAAAGAGAAGTGCCAAGCCATGGGGGAGGAGCCCCTTATAAAACTGTCAGATCTCGTGAGAACTCAATCACTATCACGAGAACAGGATGGGGAAAACCACCCCCATGGTTGAATTATCTCCACCTGGCCTCTCCCCTGACACGTGGGAATTATGGAGATTACAATTCAAGATGAGATTTGGGTGGGGCCACAAAGCCTAACCATATCAGTGATCTAACTTTCTTTTTCAATCTTTCCACACTAGGTGATGAATCCAGTGGCTCAGGGAGTGGCAGTGGGTGCATGGATGATGTGTGTCCCACGGAGTTTGAGTTTGTCACCACAGAGGCCCCCCCAGTGGATCCTGACCGGAGAGAGGTGGACTCTTCTGCAGCCCAGCGTGGCCACTCCCTGCTCTCCTGGTGTCTCACCGGCATTGTCCTGGCACTGCAGAGACTGAGCAGATAATCTTGGGTTTTTGGTCAGATGAAACTGCATTTCAGCTATTTGAATGGCCAACTCCTTTTCTTACACTCTTGGACGATGGACCATGCCACAAAAACTTACCGTTTTCTATGAGAAGAGAGCAGTACTGCAACCTGCCTCCCTTTTTGTTTTCCCAAAGAGTACCGGGTGCCAGACTGAACTGCTTCCTCTTTCCTTCAGCTATCTGTGGGGACCTTGTTTATTCTAGAGAGAATTCTTACTCAAATCTTTCGTACCAGGAGATTTTCTTACCTTCATTTGCTTTTATGCTGCAGAAGTAAAGGAATCTCACGTTGTGAGGGTTTTTTTGCCATTTACAATAAAAAAGGAAGAAAGAAAATAATTTTCCTTGTAAAATCGGGCCAAACCCCAAGACAGCTGCATTTTCAACAAAAAAGCAAACAAAGAAAAATAAATGAACTTTAACGCTGTAAGTTCAGCATTGACAGCCAACTCCCAGTGTAAGCTTTTTTGTGACAAATCCAGGTTTACACAATGCTTATGGGGAAAAAGCTTAAAGTTTGTTCTAAATATAGTGAAAATGCACTGTTGTCTTGGAGGTATCATCTTGCACTCTAACCAAACAACACCAAATTAATCTGGAGGTACTGATACTAAATTTAGAATCCCGTCTTTAATATGAGAACAAAAATTACTACGACTCAGCACCTCTCTCTCACCCTGCCCAATTTCAATTTAGTAATGGCACCATTTTTTCTTAATTCCCTTAATGTCTGTCCACTGTACCCAATTGGCACAGATTTTCCCCTTCATCTTCAATTACTAGTAGATACCCCCATCAATTCACCTTCCTCAAGAGTCTCAATTGCAAATAATCTTTAATGATACAATCTCTGCTTTTGCCACAGGTTTGACATTAACTAGACGTTTCTGCCCCTGTGCTCATTACCCTCCCAAAACAATAGCTTTTTTAATGAATTGATACACAATTAGATCCATTCCTGAGTTTTCATTTTTAACTATTTACTTTGTGTCATTTGGTTTCTGCATCACAAGGGCATTCTCTTACAAAATAACTCACAACAGAAAAAGAAGTCAAGACAAAAATATATATATATATATATAGTATTGACATGGAGATTTCTTTCACTTTTTTAGTCTTAGTATGATCATCTATTTTTATATCTATATATCTATAAATCACAGATTTTAACTTCTTAATTCCAAGCTCAGGGTTGACACACCTTTGTAAGAAAATGTTTTGTCAACCAGCTCTTCTTGTTTTGTGCTGCTCAAAGAAGGGATTCCTCAGTGATCTGTGAGCACCAAGAATCAAGAAAGAGAACTTTTTACGTATCTAACTGTCCATTTATTACAAGTTTGCCAGGGCACACCCTTCTGCATGAGTGTGCTTCAGCCTGGGTGCTCCAGACTACACCAAACTCATGGGATGAGCCGTGGGTGTGCAGGGCTTTACTGGTGATGGAAACTGTATGTGTAAAGAATGTTATTCATGAAAAACCATTGCTTTCATGTAAAACACCTTCGGCCTAGGATTCCTGCCTGGCACTTGGATACATGATCTAACTCAATAGGCCAATTTAGAGCCACAGCCTAACCTGTTCACCAAGTATGCCAAAGCCAGGCCCTATGCTCCCCCTGACAGAGAGAAGCAAAATAAACCAAACTGGGGCTTTATGAATACAGTTGACTATCCATATGTTTCTTGGTTTTTATGATGCATCTGGAGTAGGGAAAAGTAATGTTTCAAGACACCATAGTATGCCAGTCACATTTTAATTAACTCATCGACAGTATTGACGCGTAAATTTGGTATTTTTCAATCTCTGTTCTCATCAAAATTAAAATTAGTTATTGATTTAGTCATCACATTTAAGTAGAACACATGTGGCACAATAGTATTAAGTATATTTGAGCACTTTTGCAAGACAGAAAGTATTTACAAGCATCTATTGCTACTTTATGCCTAATGAAATATAAAATGTAGGATGATAAGAGACTTTGTGGCATTCTTTCATTTAAAACTTTATGAAATTTACAATCTAGTTCACCATTACATACTTCTAGAAAACTATCCATTTCACTGCCCACATTTTGGCTTCCTACCACGAACTCCACATAAGACTTCTCTATGAAGGACCAGTCATTTATGTTGCTCATTTCATTCTGTGTTCAGAAGTCAGTATTGTCTTTCTCCAATAATTAAGGTGCAATACAAATTAAATCAACCTTGATTTTCCAGACTATTTGAATAATAACTTGTCTTTATGGCTTTAAACTCCAAGTCTTTCCTTTTTAAAATATTTCTGCATTCTCTTTTATGAAATAGATCAGGATGCCTTGTTTTTCCTGTGCTTTCATCCCCAAAAGGTTTTGTGCATGTGTATGAATACACATAATATGAATGAATGTGAACCCATGTTCTATACGCACTAAACACACAGATAATATATAAACGCCTGCTTCATTTGTTTCAACACCTTCATTATCAATATGATTCATATTGATGAGATATAGTGATGTATAATGAGCCAGGCAGAGAGCTGAAACGATATCAGTTAATGATGTCACAGTGTTAGCACCCTGCATGGATGTGGTCTAAATATCATTCAAGTTGTACTTCCTAGTTTTTATCATCATAACTACTATGTCATATGATTTTCCGACTAATTTAACATGAGAAATGTTTTGGCCCTAAAGGATTTCATTTAACCTGGTTACCCTATTTCAGTAAGTATTTTGGAATTCAACCCTCAAATTAATTTTTCTCATTTCAGCATATTGATAGGGGATGCAATGAGGCTTCATTATTTTTTATGACATGCCCCTCATTTGCTCTGATGTTCCCTAAATTCTGTAATCATATCATAACTTTTGTTATGAATAGAGAGGAATGGGCTCACTGAAATCCGACACTAGAAATTGGTGGGTGACGCTCATAACTGCAAACACTTAGCTTATTGAAGTGCCTCTATTTACATGTTCTTTAGTTATAATATGTATTTTTCTAACAGAAATACACGTCTGTAATTGGTATATATTATACTTTGTATGTGTCGCAACAAAAGCTAAACAGAGGCTAAAGTCTTTAGCAGAGAAGAATGAATTACAAATTTACCAATAAGAGCTCTGTTTATGGTTCTGTATTGAAGGACAACCATGACAACCTTCTGTCACTTTCACGAAGGCCAAGTTGGTACTTTGATTATAGCCATCGTAGAACGTTAGCACTAGAAATCTGACTCCCTTACAATGACTTACCTAGATAGCATTAAGTAACTTGTATCACCTGCTTTAAATGTAAGGGGTAGAAAATACTATTTTGTCTACACTGAAAAACACTATTATTCATTGATAAGTAGTAATAATTATAAAAGTAACATTCTTTAAAGCAAACACATTGAAAATATTATTATAGGCAGAACCCTGATTTTTAATTTATTCCCTGCTGCAGACATTAGCCTTCTTTAATTCTTTTGCCATTACATACATCTTTTGGCTACAGACTGAACACCAACTAAAGTCCCTAAGGAGGAAAAAAACTTCACATATTCCTGAGATGTGATTCTTTTATTACTTCTTTTTGCAAAGCTAATTATCAAGTGATTTGATTAAACGTAGAAGCGTTAGCAAATGCAAGTTTTACCTAAAACTTGCAGAAATTTAGACACATTTCCATTTACTTACTAACAGACCTGATTTTTATTTAAAAACACAATTTAGCTTTGCTAACAGAAGAGTAAAGGAAACTATAACTTATAAATTTGCAATGTGTTCCTCCTTGTTGGAGACACTAGTCAGTGTTTAGTTTCAGACCAACTTACACAAACGGAGTATTGATTTGTACGCATTCTGGAGACTTGCTACGTCATGGTTTGCTACGGCACGGACTCAGCTTAGCATGGGGACATCTTCAACTTCATTCAAAGTTGAGTGGTTACGGAACCTTTGACATTGCCTTGTAATGAGGTACTTCCACGAAAAGACCCCTAACAATGGCATAATAGTGAGGTCTCTCTGTGCATATACGTAATATATATGCAGGATAAATGTGTGCACCAATCAAACCTAAAATTTTATGTGACTGTCAAATGAATATTATTTGGGTTAAGATTTTTCATTTCTGATTTGGATAGAAAATTGCTATTAATCTTGTATTAAAATAGTTTTTAAAAATCTACCAGTGCCCTTTCTGCATTTTCTTAATTATTGTCATAAATTTCAGAGCCATAGAACTTTTTGGGTTTGAGACATTTTTTAGAAGGTTCAATGTTAAAAAACAACAACAAACCCCATATAGTAAAACAGTGCCACTCACCTAAATACACTCAGCATCTGAAATCAGGAACTGTTTGAATTTTAGAACATTTAGAGCCTCCCAAATTTATATGGAAAATACTGTATCTCTATTCTTTTGTACTGGTTTCTTCTCAGAGGATAAATTTAGTGACTTGAAAACTGATGTCAATACTTTATAAATGAGGTCAAAAAATAAGATCAAATGTGAAAAGACTAATAACTTCCCAATTTAGCCAATTGCATTGAGTTTTATACTTCTGAAATGTTTCCATCCTCTCAGGCATGCTAAATATTGTATAACCTGCTAAAGATTTATTTCACAAATATTTATTGAACTCTTATTATGTACAAACCTTGCTCTAGGGGATTTATCACTGGCTGTGAAAAACCAGTTGAAAATTATTCATTCCTTAATGCAGTTAACCGTAACTATTACAGATAAATAATTTATTTCAAGAATGATCTTATAAATAAAGGAACTCATACAAATAAACGTACTAAGAATACAGCATGTAACTATAAGAAATACTGTGATTTAGCTCACATTATTATTATTTTGGTTTGTATTGAGAAAAGTGACTATTATAAAACAATTAAGGAATGTTAGGATAATTTCATCTACAAAATCAAAATGTAACAAATTTTATTTGGAAGTAACAGAAACCAGTTTATTGGGAAGGAAAAACATCCAAGTGGTTTTAGAAAAATAAATGAAACCAGACACTTTTATCAGGTAACAACAATATTTATTTTAATTTGCTCTTTGGATAAGCAGACAGGGATATAGTTAAAGTATATGCACAAATGTGGTAACAAAATTACATTGATTTAAAAAATCCAACTTGTAACATAGTGGCAATGAGGGATAAAGTGTTTCTGTATCTTGAGAGCTAGAAAGATGCAGCCACAAATTTAAGTCTGTTTAAACAGACATTGACAACTGATATAGTGGGGACGCATTTCCATTCCATAGACACATTTATTTGCTGGTGTAAACATGTGGCCAAACATATTTTGCTGGCTCATAAATAGGGCATGCAGCAAAGCCAGGAGGAATTAGATGCCTGCTTTTATAGCCTGCTTAAGGAGCACAAGCTCATGTACACCTTGAAGCATAAAGCAAAACAGGAAATTGGGAAAATGGGACTTTTACCCTGTGAATGCTCAAGTTTGGAGAGAGGAGAAAGAAGGATTGCAAACTGGATTCAAGAAAGCAGAAGAATATTTACCTTGAATAAAGCCACTTTCCCTTCAATAAGAACAAGCATCTGTGGATTTTTTTAATTAAAAAAAATTACTGACCTCAGCAATTACTCACTTTTTCAAAAGATATATAATGAGAAATCATCCCATGCCAAACACGGTTCTGGGTGCAAGAGCAAGACACTAAAATTTCCGCCCTCTCCCTTTAGTGAGGAAGAGACAGACAACATGTACGCCAATAAATGAACGCGAAGATTCAGAAAGTGAAAGGCGCCATGAAGGAATGAAACAGGAAATGGGATAGCGACCAGGAAGGAAACTCCTTTAGGCTAGTGGTCCAGGACAGCCTGGGGTGATGGAGCTCTGATGAATGACAGGGAAAGAGACACCATGAGCAGACCCGGGGATAGAAATTTCCAGGCAGAGAGAGTGCAGATGCAGAGATCTCAGTTCGGGAATGACCCGTACTTGAGCGAACGTGACTGCAGTGAGGTGCTGAACAGTGAGATGGTTGAAGAGCTGACTTTGGGAATTATCCACTTTTTTCAAAAGATAGATAATGAGAAATTATCCCATGCCAAACATGGTCCTGGGTGCAAGAGCAAGACGCTAAAGTTGGGGCAGCCCTGTTAAGCCTAATGGCCAAAACTAAGGTCTTATCCCCTGGTGAAGCCAGAGCCCCAGTGGGACACAGCAGCCCGGCTGGTCACACTCACTAACATTTTTTGGGGGGATTGGGGGGCGAGGGGGGACGGAGTCTCCCTCAGTCGCCCAGGCTGGAGTGCAGTGGCGTGATCTCGGCTCACTGCAACCTCCACCTCCGGGGTTCAAGCGATTCTCCTGCCTCAGCCTCCCGAGTAGCTGGGACTACAGGCACCCTCCACCATGCCGGGCTAATGTTTTGTATTTTTAATAGAGACGGAGTTTCACCATGTTGGCCAGGCTACTCTCGAATTCCTGATCCACGTGCCTCAGCCTCCCAAAGTGCTGGGATTACAGGCCTGAGCCACCATACCCAGCCTTATTTCATCTTTATAACATCTCTATGATATAAACATAATAATGTCCATTTTATACTGAATAAAATGAGACACAGTGAAATTGATAACTCACCCAATCACACTAAGAAGGTCATGATATGAACCCGGATCTGTAAGAACTGGACAGAAAAATGAAGGTATTAATATATAAGAATAAGTTTGTTTTTGTTGTTACAAATTCAATTCAATTATCCAAGCATGCTCTGAGTATTGACAACAAGCGTGCAAACTGGCAACAAGTTTCCATTAGCATAAAGGATATATGTGAAATTTTAATTCTGAGATGGAGTTGCTTTGTGTCTTAACTTTTTTTCAAAATTAAAATCCTAAGTAAACAAATGACTGGGGATTCTGGGTTCTTATGTAGTTTGAACTTACAGCCACCTTGAAGCAAAGCATGATCCCTACGACAGAAACACGCATCAAGCCCACTTCCCCTCGTTTGTCAACTCGGCTTAGACATCATAGTCACAGGAAGCAAATCAGATATCAAATTCACAGGGCTTAGCCCAACTTCCAGTGACTCTCCCATATATTAGCTGTCTGTAATTTAACTATTCTGATGGTCGAGTGGACCTGAAATATAAATCAAAACAGCTCAACAATTACCCAACTCAGATAACTAGTTTGGCTGCTTTGTAGACTAAACTGTTAAAACATCTTATAAAGTATTGTGACATTGAACATCCAGCCCAATCAAAGTCCTAGCGAGGGCTTTCTTAGTTAAAATAAAGACTGCAGCATAGGAACTCCCTGTGTCTTTCATATTCCTGGAGTTAAAGCTACTTACACTGTTGGTTTCCAGCTCATGCTTGCTTGAAAGGCATGGGCCATTGCCGTCCTTAGCTGAGAGAGTCGGGTATTGAGCACAGGTTGTGTCCTTCTTAAAAAGGTTCTCTAGACGAGGAGTCCCCAGGCTTTTTGACACCAGGGACCAGTTTCATGGAAGACAATCTTTCCATGAACCAGGATTAGAGAGGTAATGGTTTCAGGAAGATTCAAGTGCATTACATTTATTGTGCACTTTCTTTCTATTGTTATTACATTGTAATATATAATGAAATAATTATACAACTCACCATAATGTAGAATCTGGGAGCCCTGAGTTTGTTTTCCTGCAAGGAGACAGTCCCATCTGGGGGTGATGGGAGACAGCGACAGAGCATCAGTCATTACATTCTCATAAGGTGTGTGCAACCTAAATCCCTCACTTGTGCAGTTCACAATAGGGTTTGTGCTCCTGTGAGAATCTAATGCCACCGCTGACCTGACAGAAGGCGGAGCTCAGGTGATAATGCTCACTCGCCTGCCACTCACCTCCTGCTGTGTGGCCCGGTTCCTAACAGGCCACGGACTAGTACCAGTCTGTGGCCAGTGGGTTGAGGACACCTGCGCTAGACATTTCATAAAGGTGACGATCACGTTAGGGAAAGGTTTGCAGAAAGCTCTGTTTATTTCTGTTTAGTGATAAAACATGCCTTATATTTGCATAAAGCATTTCATCCTGAAGGGAACTTTCAAATTCATTTTCTTTCATAATCTTCACTACATCTCCACGAAGTAGGCAGGAGCTACTGTCCCTATGGTACAGATCAGAGAAGCTACACAGTGGAGCCAAGATCTTCTCATCTTGTTTTTGTTTATTCTCTCCCTTTCTTCTTCTTCTCTCCCTTACTCCCAGCCCACCCAAACTGTAAGGACTTGAATGTAAATCATTCTTGTTCCTACCAACCTCTTATTAGGTTATGGAACCAGCCCATAGTTCAGCTGCAGGGACCCAGGCCCCAGTTCTCAAGCTGAGCCTGGTAGAATGATACCCCAACAGTCTTCTGATTCATCTCCGCTTCTGAATCATATACTGTGAGCTATTATATACTGAGTTTCCGTGTGTGAAAGAAACTAGAAGTCCCAAAATTATATTAAGCCCAAGAAATTTCACTCAGTTTTATGAAAATCTTGTTAGTGACACAGGAATGATTGTATTGGTTTTTGTTTGTTTGAACTATTGCATATGAATTAGTGCATGAAGGCTATTTTTATACAGCCAAAGGTAAGCCTAGGTTCTATGACTGGGCTTGTGTTTGAACTTAAGGGTTTTATTTAATGGAAAAGGAAAAGCCTTACATTGAGTAATGCATTATTGGACAGAGAGCATGAGCCAGGAGAAATCGGCAAGCAAAAGGCCTTTCTCTAGGAAAGAAGAACAGAGATTTCCCCCACATCTGAAATCTTCCTTCCTCTGGCACAAGCCTTTGATCTTTCCCCTGTTTGTACCTCATGAACAAGGAGGAAGTGCCGTGGAATGGCACGGGGGGAAGCAAAATTTAAAAAGAGGGAAAAACCAAAATCCAGTACTACTGACACATGTGATAAGTTTCCTATATATTCATTTGACCATTTCTGAACCTCTACTGTAAAAGTCTCCTGTCATAGAAAGGGAAGGTTCTCCACAGATAATACATAATAATAGTACTTAATGAAAACCATAAAAAGAAATCACATAGGAACTCTGGTGTGTTGAACGAATACTCTTCACTCACCATATGTAAAAAAAAAGTCTATATGTCCCAAATTGTCTCAGACAGTCCCCATTATGTCTGCTGTCCCAGTATTATTATTAACAGCACCCCTTTCACTCTTCACGGTGTCCTTGACTTGAATGATAAATTAGATGGTCACTCTAGGTATAAATAATGGCTATTCACATGATCAATTTACACTCTAATGTATGTGACACCTAATAATTTTTCAAACCTCCCACCCAGCTGAAGAAAGTAACAGGTAATGTTATTCACCAGTGACTTTCCTATTTAAATCTCCCTGCCTACTTGTTATATTGAAAAACATCTGGAATCAGAATCAGGAATCCAAAAACAACTTAGACATTGCCAAGCACGCTAGATAACCCCAGTTCACAAGTGCCCAGCTCTAAACGCCAGCATGCTTTCATCTCAAAGTGAGCCACACTTGAAACTTGATCCCAGGTGGTTGACCCCTTCTGCTGTTCAGTAATTTTGCTGGATATGTCAGTGAACAAAACCACTGAAAATGGGTGCCACCCCAGAAGTTGTATTTTGGTTCCATTTGCTGCTGCTAGAGGGTCGTAATTCGAGGCTTGTTTTCCTTACCTGCCAATCTTAGCAGTCCCACAACAGCTTCAGCTAAACTGTTCTAAGGTGTTGATAAGTTGAAAATGCTCTGCTAACGTTTTCTTTTGGTTTTGACTCACATCTAGGATCAATTTCT